AAAAAAAAAAAGAAAAAAATTTCATTTCTAGTCTCATTCGTCTTTCCTAAAAAAACCAATTCTAAAAAAAAAAAGAAAGGAAGGGTTAGTAACGGCTAAAGAAACCAAGACGTTTCTAGTTCCATTCCTACCCATAAAAAATTTATCTGTTATTTCTGAAAAAACTCCATAAAAATGAGTCTTTCACGAATCCATTCACGAAATGTAAATAATTTGATAAATTCCGTAATATAAGGTTATTAATTCCGGAAATATGAGCCTTTTACGGAAAAAAGATGGAATATAAAAATGAATCGACTTTTTTTATCTAAAAAAAGTAGTCTAATAATAAAGAAAAAGAAAAAATTAGTAATGATTAAAGAAAATAAAAAGAAAGAAAACAATCCATTTACCGAGGCATTTAGTCCTATTCCTCCTTTCTAAAAAACAATTCTAAAAAAAGGAAGGAAGGAAGAGTTAGTCACGGTCAAAGTAACTAAGGAAACTACTTATAGGGGCATTTCTAGTCCCGTTCCTACTACCTAAAAAAAAGTGATTAAAAAAATAAAAAAATAGATCAGATAATTTAGCTGATCTATTAATAATATTGATCGGTCTTTTGAAGACTGCGGTCCTAAAAAAGACCGTCAGTCTTGTTGATCCATTGGATGATCACGAGGACCGCAAAAGACTGCGGTCCTACGCGGTCCGGTCTTTTTGCATGTAGGACCGGGGAGACCAATGGTCTTTAGGACCGATGACCATCTTTAGAAGACGTGGTAGATAATGCATATTATTCTAAACATAGGGAGAGACTTCGTGAAAAGAAAATTTTATTTTTAGATCAAATTATTTCAGGTGACAAATCTCGTTTATTATTATGGAAAGAAATACTTATTAAGGCTTATATTCCCTTCTCTTCACGACATAAAGTTGCTAAATGGTATACAGATATTAGAACTTTAATTACTTTTGATAGTGTTCATTTGAATCATAGTATAACACAATTATTCAGCGCTCGTATTGATAACGTGGAAGAGACTCGATCATATGATATTATTAAGAAAAATAGATCTTTAATTGCATGTTATAATTCACAATTTAACTCTGTAGTTATTGGAAAAATTCAAGGAATAGATGAAACACAACGACCTGTTATTAAACATTTTCATATTGATATGTCGCAATGTACTGATACACATACTTATATATATATATCAATGTATGGAATATGGATGTGCTGCTAATGCTTCATTATCAACACGATCACCTTGTACTTTTTCTGCTGACTGGGAATGTTTAGTACCATTGTTGACTGATTCTCAATTTACATCTATTCAATCTACAAATTTAATCGAATTTAACATTTTTGACATTTTTGATTTTGCAAAAAAGAAATATGATATTTTACAAAGAGCGTTAACGCAAAATCACGTGATTTCTCTACAATTACAAGATAATATAATTTTGGATTTATTAGATTCTTCAACTTCAAGAAATGACTTGTTAACTATACAACGAATATTAGCTCCTTTTGACAACAATAATTATTATATTTTTGAATTTTACACTGATGGATCTTTAATTGAATTAGGTACTGAACAGTGTAGTATTAGTTGCGCCTTCGCTCAGATTAGTGATTTGTTTGATATACCTCACGTCGAATTTTATTCTACTATTGATAAATGGCCTTCTGCATATAGAGGAGAATTATTAGCTGTTCTTTTAGCATTAAGCGTTGTTCCAAAAAATAGTAAAGTTAGAATTAACACAGATTCGCTTAACATAATTACTCAATTTGAAAAATTAAAGAAATCAAGATTTTCTCAAACCTCACGTGAATACTTTAAGGCTAATAATAATTTCTTATGGGCTATTTTATGTAGAATTATATTAACATTGAATTTGCATGTAGAAATGTTTAAGGTAGTTGCTCATGGTGATGATATGGGTAATAATTATGTAGATAATTTGGCAAAAATTGCGCATACTGATCAAGATCGCTATATAGTTTTTAGACGTGATGCTTGTATGATGAAAGTTCTTCCTTGTTGGAATGGAATTATTATTGAAAATAAGCTGCGCTCATTTTTGAAAAACATATGCAACTACAAAGGTTTAGAGAAATTTATTAATTTAAATAGAAATTCTAAATATCGCACGTTAGAAGTTGACTGGACATCCACATTTAGTTGTTTAAATTGTGATATAAATAACAATGAAACTTCTGTTTCTTCTTCTAAAACGAAAGCTCAAAAAGTTCACTTGTTAATTGAAGAAATTCCAACAATTGAACAGATGAAGAAATCATTGCTTGACTTATATGATGGTTGGATGTGCCCTATATGTGGATTACATGACGAAACCTTTAATCATGTCTGGACGTGTAGTGGTCATTATGATATTATTAACAACATTAGAGATAAAACTATTAATCATCTCTTGACTTGGATATTAGAATATAATGATAATATACAAGACTTCAATGCTCTTATGGCGCTTGATATATGGGATATATCTTATGACCCTAACATGTTTACTTTTATCGATCTTCTTAAAGGAATTATACCTATGTCACTTACAGAACTGTTAAGTTCTTGGACTACAAAGAAAAATGTTGTCGATGTTTTAATTCAAATGAGGCAGTTTATTTTTAATGAAATATTTGAAGAAGTTTGGATTCCGAGGTGTTCACATTTGAAGGAATTTAAACGTTCTATGGGGTTAACTAAAAAGAAAAAATTAGAATTCAAAAGCGTTCGTTCATTACCTAGTAATAATAGTAGTAATAATAATATTATTCATTATGATTCTTTAGATAGTGTTAGGAATTACATTTATTTTGGTAAAAATATAATAGAATTTTATACTAATCTTACTTTGTAGCACCATCGTAGATTTTAGTAGCTTGATTTATATAATTTTATTGGGTCAATTTTACTTTCTTCTGCAGGGTGGGCTTCAACTTACCAAGTTTCGGCTAGTGTATGGGAGGTAGTGGGTTAATTAAAGAAATGGTTTTTAGGTGTAGTTGGTTATATCTTTAATAGTTTCGTATTTAATTGCCCCACCGTCGAAGTAGATTCTTCTGATAGTTTAGTTCATTTTTTTTATTTTACTTTTTCATTTTTGATATGTTTATAAAATTTGTATTCGCTAACTATTACTGTTTAATAAAAATAAAAATAAAAATATAACTTTTTCACCTTTTTTTGCGATGGAAAATAATAATATTGAAAAGTCATTGTTGACATTCAATTAAAAAAAAATTGAACATTAAAAAGTGCCGTATTGTCAATTTTAATTAATAATTACAAATCTAATGAATTATTTATCCATGAAAATTTTTTTTTAAAATAAAATTAGCCGTTAAAAGAAGTCAGATTTTATCGGTTTATTAATATTTGTAGCGTATAATTAATTTAAATTATTATTTAATTTCATAATTTTTGGCTCTAGAATCAATAGAGTATTTTTCATTATGTAATACTTATAGTATACTGTATAATTAACTTTATTTTAGTATGAATAATACTTGTAAAAAATTTTTATGGTGAAAATAATATTTAGTGCTTACAAAATAAGAAATTTACCCATTCTCTTGATTATTATAGAATGTCTTTGAATTTAAGAGATAATCTATCAGTTAGTTCAGTTCAATAAAGTTTTAAAATTACAATTTCATTAAAAAACTATACTCAATCACAATTAAAATTGTAAGAAACAGTGATTTAATTTTTATAAATATGAATTTATTAATAAAAAATACAAAAAATATGATTTAACAATATTATCTAAAATTTAGCAATTTCAGTTTGCCAGGAAAAAACCCAATTGGAAAAAAAAACCAATTGGGAAAAAACCTAAATAAAGATATAAATACTAATATAAAATAATAAAATTGTAGTTAATAAAATATGTTACTATTTGTCAAAAGATATGGTTAACTATTATTTAGTACATATGATTAATAAAGAAATAACAGAAAAATAGAACAATATTTCGGGATTAGTCCTTATATTTAGAATAAATTATTAACTGAATTTGTAAATATAAGTGAATTGTTTAAAGGATTTAGCATTATTAATTATTAGTAATATGCACTAAAGAAAATAAGAAAATAAAATATATTGTCTCGTTAAAAAAAAAAATAATTCTCTTACTAGAAAAAATGAATACCAAAATATTATTATTATGATAACTTACTTTATATAGAACTTAAATTTTTTTTCTGCATATTTTATTTTATTTGACAGTCTAAACAATCGGAAAGACCTTTCGTAAAAGGATTAAGCAATTTAGATGTAAAGCTATACTGATTATAAGCGGGCAATTGGTTATTTTTGATGGATGAAAGATTTGCTATTCTGAATTCTTCTGCTTTTCTAATTATCTCATTAATATTCATAATACTCTCATTTCCATCTGCTTTTGTTATTTTATTTTCATTTGTTTTAGTAATTTCATTTTCATTTATTTCTGTAGTTTTGTTTTCATTTGATATTGCAGTAACGTTAAGCATACCCTGCATTCTATTTATCTCTTCAAACTGGGCATATATTTCAATAGAGTTTGGTCTATTGCCCGGATTCAAATCCCAGCATTTTTTCATTAAATCAACGTAAATCTTTGGCACTCCTAGCTCATTAATTTCAGGTCTAATTCCTTTACATATTTCTAATGCTAAAAATTCATCATGAGCACGATCAGCAAAAGGTTGTTTTCCAGTTGCTACAAAATACATAATCATACCAAAACTATATATATCTGCTGCTTGAGTATAAGATTTTCCCCTTAATACTTCAGAAGCTACATAAGGCATAACTCCATAAACATTTGTTTCATCTATATTATCAATTTTTCCGCATAATCCCATATCTGAAATAGACAATATATTTCTATCAAAATTTATGCCATTTGCAAAAAATAAAATATTTCCTGTATGTAAATCACGATGAATCATTTGTTTTTGATGAATACATTTAAGACCATTACTAATACCAAGTAATACGTTCATTTTAATTCCCCAAGAAAAAATTTTATAGTTATTTTTCATCCAATTATCAAAACTTCCACCTTTTGCATATTCAAGAACAATAATATATTCTTTACTATTAGGATTTTAAGATATTCCATATATTTTGAGAATATTATTATCGTTCTGTCTCTTATACACATCTAGATGTGTATAAGAGACAGCAATAATATATTCTTTACTATTAGGATTTTAAGATATTCCATATATTTTGAGAATATTATTATCGTTCTGATTTATTGAATATTCTTTAACCTATTAATTTATAAAAAATATAAATATATTAAAAAATAAGTCAAATTAATTCATAAAAATACCTCATTCAAAAATTAACACAGAGATAATCTTTTGTTGGGCGTTTTTTACAAAAGTAGTTATTTTTATGTCAATCATTTGTCAATCATTTTATAAATTTATCAAATTTATTAATTCGAATATATGTACATCGTTTCTTAATTTGATATTTACCCACATGCAGAATTGCCATGAAATTGAAAAAAATTTCCTTTTTGGTAAAAAAAGGTCCATCAAATCTTTATATAACTTATGTACTTGTACATGTACATGTACAGTACATAGACAGTCAATCATAATGTTAACTTTTTGCACTGAATTTAACTGTGCTACTAAAGATGAATGTTAATTTGATAGATCACGAATAAATCACATTTTTTAATATTATGTCAATCAATTTTTGTTCTTGCACAAAACAAAAATTTAATTTTTCCAATATTTTTATTTACAGTTAAAAACTAATTTATCCAAGGATTCTTAGATATAAAACCCTTAAGTAATATGATTGAAAATTCATGTTCATTTAAATATTTTATGTATTAGCTGTTATTTTCATTTCGCATTCTCTAAGATCTTGTATTGCACTTTGGGTGGCGCAGTAGATATTGGAACATCAAGTAAATAACAAATCTGCCCGAAGGGCTGTCCTTAAAAAAAAGGAAAAATTCGCAAGAATTGCGAATTTTTCTTAATTTTTTTTATAAAACATGTTAAAATAACGTTAT